GAAGGACCCACAACGAAATATACAACTATGTACCGGGGGGCTTTGGGGAGAAAAAGGAGAAAAATAAAATCTTTAAAAAAAAAAAACAAAAAAAAACCCAAAAAACTATATTAAGTGAAAGAAGGCATAAACAAAAGAATACTACTTTTTTTTAACTCATTTTTTCTTTTAAAGATTTTTATTTTTTATTTTTATTTTTTTTAAAGATTTTATTTTTTCCTTTTTCTCCCCAAAGTCCCCCAGTACATAGTTGTATATTCTTTGTTGTGGGTCCTTCTAGTTGTGGCATGCGGGACGCTGCCTCAGCGTGGCCTGCTGAGCAGTGCCATGTCCGTGCCCAGGATTTGAACCAACGAATCACTGGGCCGCCTGCAGCAGAGCGCATGAACTTAACCACTCGGCCAGGGGGGCAGCCCCAAGATTTTTATTCTTTTTCCTTTTTCCCCCAAAGCCCCCCGGTACATAGTTGTATATTCTTCGTTGTGGGTCCTTCTAGTTGTGGCATGGGGGACGCTGCCTCAGCGTGGTTTGGTGAGCAGTGCCATGTCTGCGCCCAGGATTCGAACCAACAAAACACTGGTCCGCCTGCAGCGGAGCGTGCGAACTTAACCACTTGGCCACGGGGCCAGCCCCAAAAGAATACTACTTTATGGTTCCGTTTATAGAGAGTTAGTAAAACAGAACGATTACAGTAGAAGCCAGGATAGCAGTTCCCATCAGAGCAGAGGAAGAAGGCTATGGCCGGGAAGTATCATGAGGGGAGTCTTCTGGGGCACTGGTATTCTTCAACTTCCTGATCTGGGTGCTAGTTACAGAAGTGCTGGCTTTGTTACAATTCCATCAGCTGTATATTTACATTTTTTTCACTTTTCTGAATGTGTACTATACTTAAAAAGTTAAAAATGTTACAGAAAAACATGATTAATTCAATGGTGTGTTTTACAACTGACAATATCTTAGAACCGAAGGAGTACTATATAGCCATTTTTTAAAATTATGTATAAGTATAGAGAGGTTATTATTGGTCTTTTTGTTTTAGTCTGCTTTTAACTTTTAGTTAAGAAAGCTTTTCCTACTCTTGTGTCATAAAGACGACCTCCTATACTTTCATTTAAATTTTAGGTTAGGGCTCGTCCCGTGGCCGAGTGGATAAGTTCGCGCGCTCCGCTGCAGGCGGCCCAGTGTTTCGTTGGTTTGAATCCTGGGCGCAGACATGCCACTGCTCACCAAACCACGCTGAGGCAGCGTCCCCCATGCCACAACTAGAAGGACCCACAAGGAATAATATACAACTATGTACCGGGGGACTTTGGGGAGAAAAAGGAAAAAAATAAAATTTTTAAAAAATAAAAAAATTTTGGGGCTGGCCCCGTGGCCGAGTGGTTAAGTTTGCGCGCTCCGCTACAGGCGGCCCAGTGTTTCATTGGTTCGAATCCTGGGCGTGGACATGACACTGCTCATCAAACCACGCTGAGGCGGCGTCCCACGTGCCACAACTAGAAGGACCCACAACGAAGAATATACAATATGTACCGGGGGGCTTTGGGGAGAAAAAGGAAAAAAATAAAATCTTTAAAAAAAAATAAAAAAATAAATAAATAAAAAAATTTTTAGGTTAATAGCATTTTTTCCCTTAGTACAAAAATACACAAGGTATTACTTCATTGTCTTGTGGTATCTACTTTCATCAACGGGAAGTCTACTTTGGGGCAATATATTATGTAATAATTGTAATAAAAAGGTCTTGTATATACAGTCTCTGAGGCAGGCTGAACAAACTATTACTATATCCATTATATACAGATGAAAAAGCTGAGGCCTAAGGGAACTTAAATGATTTTAACTTGGGTAAAAGAACTGTAAAATGTAAATTACTCATACACATATCTTCTGACTTCCACATTCAGCATGATTCCCACTATTCTATTATGGTGGAAAAAACACAGGCTGTGGAATCAGAAAACATATGAATACACATTCTAGATTTCCCACAAATTGTGTACTCTTGAGCGATAAACTCTCTAGGTCTCCGTTTCCTCCTCTGTAAAACAAAGATAAACATCATCTATTTTATAGAACAGTGAGAAATAACAATAATGGACACATGTATAGTTCGTGACCCCCAATACGCACTTGAGAAATGAGAGTTAGAAATATTGCTCTATTATTTTATACACACACACATATATATAATAGCTTCTAAGGATGATTTTGGAGCACTTCAAGTGTATCAGATAATATATAATGGCTTGTGAGTGGCAGGTATATAATGAACCAAACGGAGAAAAAAAACCCAAATACCCAATAATATCCTACAAGCTGTACCTTGGGAGGCTGGGAGGTGGGGAGTACTGCAGGGAGGAAGACGATGTATTAGAGAGAGGATCAAAGAACAGATTATTTGAAAAGAAACACATTAATGCTTTTAAGTGTACACTAATAACTCATATCTAGCAAAGTATCATATAGGGAAAAATAATTTCCAATTGCCTGTTAATTAGACGCCAAAGGGCAATAATACATGCTTCTGAAGTGAGGTGTCCTAAATATTTTACAAGCATCTCCTTTAACTCTTGACCATTTGTAGACATGCACTCTCTTTTAAAACCAAAACCACGAAGTCTACATTATATTAGGTATAATTATAAAATAAAGAGACTGAGTCATACACTTACTACTTTATAGTCGTATCTGATATAGAACTTATTTTAGTTATAGTCAGTCATTCCAGATAATACAATGACAAATTGACTTGCTTTCTGTTTGTAACCTGTTTCCAGAAAATAGCTGTAATAAAAACTTACTTAGGAGCCTTTTCTCCTACATTCCCTTCCTGTTACAACATTTTTCTTAAATTAAAAGAGTAATGTAACAACATTTAAAAACACTCAAAACCTACAGATGCTTTTAAAAACAGCATTTCAAAACATAGTCACCCTGGGGCCAGCCCGGTGGTGTAGTGGTTAAGTTCGCACACTCTGCTTTGGCGGCCCAGGGTTCGTGGGTTCAGATTCCAGGTGCCAACATACACCACTCATCAAGCCATGCTGTGGCAGCAACCCACATATAAAATAGAGAATACTGTCACAGATGCTAGCTCAGGGACAATCTTCCTCAAGCAAAAAAAAAAAAAAAAAAAAGAGGAAGATCAGCAATGGATGTTAGCTTAGGGTCAATCTTCCTCACCAAAAAATAAAAATAAAAGTAAAAAGAATAATGCAGGAAAGAAAAAAAAAAACCAAAAGTCACCCTCACACAAAAACACCAACACTCTCGCCCAAAAAACCCCAAACACACAGAACCATACAACAATACAACATAAGTTTCTCACCAGTTGTCAAAGAAACCAAATATACCATCCTATTACTTTAAAATGAATGGTTTATAAGTGGGTAGCATTTAAACAGGATAAACAGCACACAGGGTAATGATTACTCAAGACTTTTAAAAATACTTTAGGGGGTGGGGCCCAGGGCCTAGTGGTTAAGTTGAGTATGCTCTATTTTGGTGGCCCGGGTTCAGTTCCTGGGTGCAGACCTACACCACTTGTCGGCAATCAGGCTGTGGTGGCAACCCACATACAAAATAGACGAAGACTGGCACAGACGTTAGCACAGGGCAAATTGCCCTCAAGCAAAAAGAGGAAGACTGGCAACAGATGTAAGCTCAGGGAGAATCTTCCTCACCAAAAAAAAAAAAGAATACTTCAGATGAAGTAAGCCATATAGATGACAGCAGTTTTATCTGTTAAACTGCATATTTAAAAAAAAACTTTAAATGTTTTAGTCATGAATCTCTATTCTCTATCAGTACTTTAAAAAGGATTTCAATGATAAGCTTTTGTTTGGTCCTTTCCTAAAATGGATGTGGCTAGCAATTGTTTTCACGTAGGTTACAAGAAGACTCTTTGTGCATTTCAGGGTAAGAGGTCTTTTGGAGGAATACTGAAATTGTGGTTATTGGCCAAAAACTACTACAACAAATTCCTATCAGTGTGTATGAAGGGGGAGAAGTGGGTTAGCGCAACACCGGGTAGTGCATTTAGCCACTTCCTTTTTGGGTTAAGCAGAGAGAGTGAATCAATTATCTTATTAATATTCTTATAGAATAAGACAAAATATTAATTAACCAAAATATGGAAAAACTTTGCAAGTGAGTCACCTTTTTTTGTTTAAGCAAGGATAACACTTATAACACTTATAACATACCAGGAATTATGCTAAGCGCTATGAGAATACAAAGTTTCATCAGATTCTGACCTTAAAGTACTTATTGTCTAACGGGAAGACAGGATGGTGTCAAAAAGAACAAGAAAGAAGAAAGCAAGAAGTTACAAGAGTAGTAAAAAAGACAATGCATTGAGAGATCAAAGGAAGGAAATGACTTCATGGAGGGCTAGCTTGACCCGGCTGGGATGGACTGAGAAGTCTGGGATTAGGTATTCCAGTGGAAGGGAGCAAAAATCAATAAGGATTAGCAAGCGATCCTTCATGTGAAGTATGTTAACCATACGTGAACCCAGACAACACTAACTAAATCCCTGCCTAACTACACTCCTACCCCAAAACCAAAACAAAGTAAAAAAAACCCATTTCATCAAGGTAATATGTGACATTTTAAAAACAATGTCATTATAATTTTTTTAAAATTTCAAAATATGTTTAAACCAATTAAACAGTACTTAAAACAAGCTTGTTAGGAAACATCTATATGTTTAGTAAACTATACTGTTAAATAAGTATTTTAAAAATAAAATGATTGTGTTGATATTCATGTACAACTAAACAGATAAGAATAAGAGGGAAATTAAAACATTTGATACCACTATTCCTACCCCGCCATTTAATTCTGGAGTAGGAATGGTGTTTTAATAGGAAGGAATGTTACCACAATCAGAACAAAGAAAACACAAAGGACATAGTGGAAGTATTTATAACTGAATTAGTATGTATGTATTTACAAGGGAATTAAAAAGGAGAACACAGCCTCTTGTAACTTACCAACATAAAATGAGCAGTTGGAATGCAATAAACTTTCAGTCCATAAGCGACAAAGTTCACTTTCAGTCAGAGCTTCAACTCCATAACAAGCTTGATACTCCACTTTTGGTAGCACATAAACTGGAAATTGCTGCAATGCAAGGTTATACTTTTATAAAGCTCCACTAATTTACTATTAACAGCAAATACGTTGGACTATACAGTTTTACTACCTTCAAAATGCTTTCGGGTAATCTCATTTCATCCTTTCAAATACAGCAGGATTCAGACAGAAAGACAGACAGAATCTCTGGTAGATGCGGGCAAGAGGTGGGTGGACAACAGATCTCGAACCAACAGCCCCCCCACCTCCAACCAGAACCAACATATCTCCCCACACATGCATACATTTTATTTCTATCAGGAAATGTGACTGACAGCAGAATCCTTGAACAGAGCCTACGATACACAATTGTCCAAAGGTTCAAAGCTAGATGCTGGGAAGCAATGACTATAATATATACTAATAATTCTCAAGAGGATAAAAAAGGTAAGAATTTTTTGCCCCTTTAAAGCATTAGTCACATTGTCTCAGGCTCAAATACTCTGAGCAGTTTGTTTTCATTCTATAAATGTATGAGCATTAATACCTAAATTAACACCCAGGAATGTTATCTTCATTAATACAAAGGCTTTATTCCAGACACTAAGTATCCAGCAAATTATCTATTTAGGGTTTATTGGTCAGGACATTAAATAGATTAAGTAAAATGACTGTACCTACTACTTGTCTAAAGCAGGATATGTAAGGAAATATACACTGTGAAATAATATGTTAGTCATGTTCACAGTGCTCGTGTCATCTCATTTCTGTCAAAGAAAATTCTACTCTTAACAGTAATCTCTTCATTTCCGGCTGCAGGAGAAAGATATGGTATAAGGAACTTACTCAAAGTGATATGGCTAGTTAGTACTTTTGAAATTATGCTAAGCTGTCACCATTTATAAACTTGAAAATATTTCATAAATGTTTCAGAACTCGTGATTTTCATAAAGTGGCAAATTTAGTGTATTTGGCACATGGTGGTGGTAGGACCAATTCAAATCCAGTGAAATTTCTGTTAACAGTAAGTTTGGTTCACATGATTCCCTGTGAATGTTTTAAAACTCTAAAGCAGTCTCTCTTAAATTTCAATGTGCATATGAATGAATAACCTGGTGACCTCGTTAAAATGCAGAATCTGAGGTGAAGATCAAGGTTTTGCATTTTTAACAAGCTGTTGTTCCAGGGGCAAAACTTGGAGTAGCAAGGCCCCTACAGTGTCTTCTCAATTAAAAAAAGAAAAATTAAATTATGATTAGGATAATTTTATTCGCTAAAAGCATTTTATTGTACAATAATTCTTTAGCAACTGGTAGCCTGCATTTACAGCTGTTTATAGTTGCAAATAGAAGCTAGAGATAAAGGAAGGCCCAAAGGGTTAAGAAACTTGCTTGAGGACACACAGCAAGTTTATAGCAGACTTAGGAAAAGACTAAATGATAAAGAAGATTCTCTTTTTGGATCATGAATAAAGTTATTTCTAGATTTTTTTAATTAAAAAATACTACTATTTCTGAAAACAAAATACTTTGGGGGATTTTCTTTGATAATACTGCTATATCTATAAAACTAAGTTCTCAATCTGGTTTTAATTTCTCTATGTATTCTACTGCCATCTCCAGGAAGTCAAGGGAAAGAAAAATCTGAATATTTTATCTTAGTATGCCAAAATTAAAGTGAAATTTTAAGTACAAAGTTTTCAAACTACAAATATTAAATTTACTACTTCCTTTCACCCTTGATTGGTAGCTCCTGTTCTCCCCAAGTGAAAGCTTTTCTTGATTCTCTGTCCTCCAATTTTTCATACAAATCTTTTAACTTTTACATACATTCCTAAATAGGTATTTCCTAGCTAGTATCCTGTCACTGACCCCATTAGGTACAGTCTATTCTTTCCTAATAGTCAAACACCTTCAGGTTCATTTTTCTGCCCTAGAATGCCAATAGAAACTGTAAAATAACTGGATCTAAATTTTTGAATCACTTTAGAATACAGCTCTTAGGAAATTTAGTTAATCGAGACAGACAATAACAGATAATATCAAATCACTTAAAGTTACTTGGTCTGGATTTCATAATTATGTGTGGAACTCAGTAAGCTCCAGCTGCATCTTGTGGTCCACATTAGCCTGCTTGCCTCCATTCTATCATGTGAGACTGGCTGCTGTTTTAGGTTCTCCTCTGACACGCAGCTCTTATTAAGCAGAGTTTTGATGAGAAGGAAAAATGATATTGGAAACTAAAACCTCAACTATGATAACACATAATTGAAGAACCAAAGAAAAATAAAGGAGAGATGAGTTTCTTGGACGTCAGAGGTTGAAGAGACTTCTAAGTATTTTAAAGCTTTATCTAAATAGTTGGTTTCTAAGTAGGAAATATTAATGAGGATGCATTCTCATTTAATTAAACAGTACCACTTTAAAATTTCTCAAACTAGTGCCTCAACTTCCCTTAATTTCCCTTTCTTAACAACACCCTCCTTTCCTCACCTCTCAATTTTTCTCACTTATTCAATACCTATTTATTGAGCTTCTATGGTACAAAACATTTGGGAGAAACAATAAATGAAAAGGACATGATGCCAAGGGGAATATATTCTACTAAGGCATTTAAACGACCAGTACTAAACTATTACATATAATGATAGGTGCACTATGATAAGCATTCATTGAAAATTTTACTCTGGGTTTGACACAATCAGAAATATAAGGCTCCAAGTTAGATATTCTTTGGTGCTCAACTGTTTTGATATATCTTGATGAAGACTGAATTCTCTCCTATAAGGCAATGTCTTGACATTTACAAATTTTGCTTTAGTCAAGTGAATGACAATGGCCTTAACAGACTGTCTCAAGAATTAAATCAGTATCCAAAATATCCCTATGCTATTCTTCCTTAAGAGATACTGGCCATCAGGGCCGGCCTGGTGCCGCAGCAGTTAAGTTTGCACATTCCGCTTCAACGGTGCAGGGTTTGCTGGTTCGGATCCCGGGTGTGGACATGGCACCACTTGGCAAGCCATGCTGTGGTAGGTGTCTCACATATAAAGTGGAGGAAGATGGGCATGGATGTTAGCTAAGGGCCAGTCTTCCTCAGCGAAAAGAGGAGGGCTGGCAGCAGCTAGCTCAGGGCTAATCTTCCTCAAGAGGAAAAAAAAAAAAAAGATACTGGCCATCAATAATTTCTAAATGCTGTAAACTGGCAGATCAATACAAAGTCATATGGACCCACAAGGTAGAAAGTGAAAGAAATGAGTTAGCCACTAAATAAATGAGAGAGATAGCAAGTAAGAATTAAAGAAATAAAACCTTGAAAATACAATCCATAGCACTGACACTACATGTATTCAAGATGTTCATGCTATGGCCATTCAATCAATCCCAGTTAAATATAGATGAGGAAGGAAAAAATCAGCAAATAAAGTAAAATCTTTTAATACAGAAAATATTAGTATTTATTTAGGAGGAGACGAATATCAAAGCTATAGTATTTTGTCACTCCTTGACTTTCTGTTATAAAAAACACTCCCCCATACATTTAATTCAAAGCCATTTGGTTTCCAATATTTCAAGTCTAAAGCAGTGATGAAAACCAAATTACGAGAATTAAGAATTTAGTAACTTATTCACAATCTTCCTTCTATTTAACAAAGGATAAAAGTATCATTAAGCAAAAGATCCATCAAGACCATTGGATTCTGGTGGACCAAGCATATATCCTAGATCCTGAGGGGTTAGACTTAAGCGTTTTGTCATGAGAGACCCTCACGCTGCTGTTATTAGCAGTTTAGAAATGTTGGCACTTCTTTTTCTTTTTCTTTCAGTTACTTCTAACATGATAAGTAGTAGTCAGGGGCTTGATCCACAAAGGTCAATGCTGGAACATTCTTGAGTCTTCTGATCCCTGGCCCAAAGCACACTGATATTCTAAAGTGGTCACTGAAGATTCTTATTGGGTGGTAGGTTAGACAGGAAGAGACAGAGACACCAAACTGAGAGGAAAAAAAGTGTACCATGACAAATGTACACAACAGAAAAAATCCTCTGAAGAAAAAGTCAGAGACTTCATTAGTTCCTATATAATCAATTATAATATAGAAGCTGCTCTTTATTTAGCAGAATTCAGTGGTCACACACACTAATCAAACTAATCTGAAAGAGAACTTCAAACATCGAATATGGCAAACCATTGAAAGAACCAATTACAGTAGTCCCCCCTTATTCAGGGGGATATGTTCCAAGACCCCCAGCAGATGCCTGAAACTGCGGATAGTACCAAATACCCTGTATACTAGGTTTTTTCCTGTACATACATACTTACCTATGATAAAGTTTAATTTACAAATTAGGCACAGTAAGAGATTAACAATAACTAATAATAAAATAGAACAATTATAACAATATACTGCAATAAAAGTTACCGTAGATCTTAGCAATCTCAGCATTTGATTTTTTTCTTTTCTTATTAAGTTGAGAACTTTCACCTTTTCACTTAAAGGAAGCACTTTACAGCTTCTCTTTGGCATATCCCAATTGCCAGCATCACTACTCCTGTGCTTTGGGGCCATTAGTAAGTAAAATAAAGGTTACTTGAACATACACACTGCAGTACTTTGACAATCAATCTGATAACCAAGGTGGCTACTAAGTGACTAATGAGCAAGTAGTGTATATAAAGGGATATGCTAAACAAAGGGATGAGTCACATCCCAGGCAGGGTGGAGTGACATTTCATCCCACCACTCAGAACAATGCACAATTTAAAACTTATGAATTGTTTATTTCTGGAACTTTCCATTTAATATTTTTAGATCATGGTTGACCGTGGGTAACTGAAACCCCAGAAAGCGAAATGGTAGATAAGGGGGGATTAATGTACTCAAATTGTAGCAAAAACTTTTTTAACTGAGAAAAGTATATCAAAGCCCAAAAGAAACAACAGGGAAAAAAGGGAAAAAAGAAAGGGAGACATCTGGTTGTTTAACAACTCTGGGGAGACTCTTCAAATGTGTGTGAAAGCCCACCTTTCATAACTTGGACTTCTAAAATGAGTCAAGATGATCCCCAAGGTAAGCGTGAAAGGGGCAAATATGTCACAATGGAAATCCAAATTCACACAGAGAGCAGGAACATATGTGCCAGGTCAAATCTATGATGGTGCCATTTTTCAAAAAGTTTGTATATTCCATGGGAGAATGTTATCAGCATTCATGACTATTATATTTAACCAAACACTTTCCCTTATTAAAAGTGTTGTCGGTATTTTATTTTAAAAAACCCTCAACCTGGAGAAACTATTATAGGAGTGATCAACAATTTAAAATTAAATTTCATAACTATGGCATATTAAATATTTGCTGATTATCTACTTATTCTACCACATCCTAACTCCCCAGGTAACAACTTACTCTTCTGATTTTCTTCCGTTTTTTAGAACGCGGTCTGGTCTCTATCCTCTGGACACTGCATCGCACAAGTAACAACAGGTCTTGCAGGCTAAATAACTTGTAAACAAAATTTCCTTCCTGAGGAGCTATATATTCTGATGTATCTTCAACATAGTCCTGAAGTTCATATGGCAATCCTTTAAAAATAATTACATTTCTCATTTTTATTTTAAAATACATTGGCCCTTTACGCATCCTAATCCAAGATAAAACAATTCAATTACCTATTTTTAAACTTCTACAACTTTAACTTTCTACTTCCTCCAAGTTGACCATCACACTATTACCATTTCTGTTTATTTCTACTGGAACTGCAGCAAGAGCTGAAATCAAAGCTCTAAGGTTCTCTTGCTTTTAACTCCTACCTTCACTAACCCTAGGCAAAGCATAAATTAGTGAGACAACATATGAAGTGAGAAGAAAAGAGTTTGAAAAAATAATGTTATTCCTAATCTACAGAGAACTGAGGTGCAGCTTTATATCTGTTTCACAAAATGAAAAAGCATAAAATTGCAGTCCAACGCCAAGAAAAAAACTTTAGATTAAGAAATGTTTAACTATGTTTGATCCCGTTCCCCTTCCTCAGTTCAGTGAAGCACATCACCCACAGCTTAGCAGCCACTGTACATGTTGGATACACACAGGCTACATAGGTTATAAATCTCCATATAACTTTGGGTGCGTATTTAGAGAGATGGTTTTGGAAGCTGAAATACTGATCTGTAGATTGAAAAATGACATATCAATGACTATTTAAGATTATAAAACAGATTATAATGAGAAAGTGAGGTAATGAAGGAGAAAAACCTAAGGATAAGGAATCGGCAAAACAGTTAATATCAAGTTCTTCGTAAATATTTACTTACGTCCTTTTGGCTTCTGAAACGCAGAAGGCCATACAGATTTTGGCCAACCAGAGGCATCTGAAGGAGCAGAGGGTGGCTCGGAAACAGGAGGGTGTTTAGAATTTTCTAAATTCATTAAGGGCAATTCAGGTATTTTTCTGGAAATTGGCTTTAAGAGTTCATCCTGCATTTTTAAAATTTCTCCAACTGGATCAAATTTTTTATATACTCGTTTGATAGGTTTTTTTAAAACACACGACTCTTCAGGACTACAAGTAGTATTAGTCTGGTTTCCTACAGAAGCCTGTCCTGAGGAAGAATTTGGGCTAGCGGGTTTAGAACTTAAATTAGAACCCACATTGGCTGTTTTTCCACTACTATTACTTTGACACTCTGTATCAATGATTAAACAGTCTTCATCTGTATCACTATCGCAAAGAACTTCATCTTCAGTTCTAGCTGCTTCTGACGTCACGGTCTTTTCCTTCGAATTGTCTGTGTTCTCTAGAGCACTCAGGCTTTCACTGGCATACATCACATCAACAGCCATATCACTTTGATTAGAGGTTTCAATGTCCGTGGAACTTTCTAACCGTAAGTCATCTGGCATTTTCAAGTCACTATCTTGCATCAAAGACTTGTCAGAATTTGATACATTTTCTCCACATGGTACAAATCCCTGATCGTCTTTATTTTTGTACTCTTCAGGCCCGCTATCCATACCAGTCACCAGCTGTTTCTCCTTCTGCAACTGTTCCATCAGAATCTGAGATAAACTTCTAGAATGAGCCGAAATGTCTGGTGCATTTGATGCCACAGAGGTGGCTGCTGTGCTGGGGGCTGTGGGAGTATCTATCTTATTGGCTACTGTGGAAGTGCTTGCTGGACTTGGTGACTTCGATGGTTTCGTGGTGGTTACTCCAAAAGTTTCAAGTTCTGTAACATCATCATCAAAATCCAGATCCAAATTTTCAAGGGTCTCAATTTTTCGGCACTCATTAACTTCATAAGACATCTTAAGAAAATACATTAGTAAACTATTAGAAAAAATTGCAAGCCATCCCTCATCTATCTCTTAATGTCACTACGCCTCACATACATGTTCTTTAAAAGTAGAAAGAAAAGTATAACGACTCTGAAAGGTTATTGCCTAAGATGATAATAAACTACTAGCAACTAATTTATTTAACCTTACCTTCCCACTGAAACACTGAAGAAACACAGACAAATTTGCCAACTTGTAACAGCATGTGAAATGGAGAATATTTGTGAACTATCACATCCCAAGAGGAATTTCCACTCATCAAAAAACAGGACCATAAAGAAGTATTGGGCCAGACAGAAAGGCAGTGGATTTTCCATACCCACTGCACACACTCTTGCAAAGACACCCGAACCGAGCTGACGAGGGGGAGAGCCCCTTTGGCACTGAGAGGAAGCTGCTTTCTAAAGCAGTCGGGGAAGTGTCGCCAGGCTCTGGTGTAGCCCTAACATCAATCGGTGACTTATTTTCTACATCTACTTAGGGAAATCAACTCTCAGTAAAATGAGGAGAAATGGACAGGAGTGGTTTTATTGTATTCTGGGACACGAAGCCGTTGAGGTTGTAGTTCTTCATGTACTGTTTTGGTAACGGAAGAACTCCAGACAGCTTTAATTTATTCAGGAATAAACTGTCCTCTCCCCAAGCAGCAGCAGACCTCTTCAATCTGGCAGAGCACTGAGATAAATCTGGGTGTGGGCTGTACAGACCCACTAGGTCTTACAGGTTAGGATTGAGAAAGAAATATTCTGACAGCAATCAGGTAGTGAGTAAGAAAGATCAACCTGTGTAAGTTATCTAAACTCTCTAAACCTCAATTTCCTCATCTCTAAAACAGTGATAATAAGGTCATCTTCTTGGATTTGTTCTAAGGATTAAATAAGAAATCACATATAGAAAGTTTCTTGGCATAGTCCCTGGCATATAGTTAAGCAGCTTCTCAGTAATGGTAGCTCTTACTAAAATAAGACTACCAGATTTAGCGAAAAAATAAAACTGAACTATATGCTGTTTACATGAGGCATTCTTACACAAAAAGGTTAAAACCAAAACCATGGGGGGCCGGCCCAGTGGCATAGTGGTTAAGTTATCGTGCTCTGCTTTGGTGACCCGGGGTTCATGGGTTCAGATCCCCAATGCAGACCTACACATCTCTCATCAAGCCATGCTGTGGCAGTGTCCCACAAACAAAACAGAGGAAGATGGGCACAGATGTTAGTTCAGGGCCAATCTTCCTCACCAAAAAAAAAAGAGAGAGAGAGAGACCTGACATCGAGAAACAGAGAGAGAAGGAATAGCAACATTAAGTGTTAGAACAAAGCAGAATTCAACACAAAAAGCAACAGATAGAAAAGGGAATCCAATGTTGAAAAAAGATGAAATCCATGATGAACAGATAATGAATTGTGACATGCCAAATAACAACATCAAAACAGTGGTCAAAATTGAAAAACAAAAGGAAAATTTTACAGAAACATAATTGCATTCCAAGATCTGGAATGATCTTGTTCAACAATACACTGTCTCTAAGTAAAAATAAACAGGGATATAGAAAGTATGAATATTATTAAATGATTGAAATAAATATATATGAATGACTGAAAACATACATATAGACTACAAAGATATACCTTTTCCCTCCCAAGAATCCAAGGGGCATTTCCAAAGACGGACTATAAATTAATATACAAAGATAACATCAATATAGCACAAAGCAGAATCTGCTAAGGTCTTACTCTCTGTTTAGAAGGAAATAAAATTAGAAATCATTAAGAAAAATGCAAATAAACAACAATAAACCCAAGGACTTAGAAATTAAAAACCACTCCAAATTGTTAGATAAAAGAAGAAATTAAAATAATTATAGAATACTTACAAAGCAACAAAAATTAAAACACTAGACATTAAAAATAAGAAGTATAATTCATAGCCTTTTCAAGAAACAGGAAAACATAATCATAAAAAAATGAAGAAATTTAATAAATGCAAAGTCCAAAACTAAGGAATTGAAAAACAATGCTCTCACCCCCAAAAGAACAAATTCAAAATTAAAAATATCATTTATCGGTAAATACTTTATAGCTGTAAAAGGATTCTTCTATAAAATATATCATTAGTTACATCAATAAAAATTAATAATTCCTTAATGCCATACCTAATCAGTGTAAAAATTTCCCAGTCTGAAAAATGTCTTTTTACAATTGTTTATTAGAATCAGGATCCAACCAAGATTCCTACACTGCATTTGGTTGACATGTCTTTCAATTTTGTTTAATTTGCTAAAGACTTTCCCCCTTACCTCTGCCAACTTCTACATCCACCAGATAATTGTAGAAGAAACCGGATTAGTTATCCTGCAAAAATCTCCACATTCTGGATTTTAACTTCTGCATCCCTAAGATGTCATTTAACACATTCTCTATCCCCTGAATCTCCGGCCAATGGGAAACCCTTCACATTGGTTCTGGTATCTTTTTAATACAATTCCAATATTATTATAGGGTTTTTACTTCTTTGATTTGCATTTGTGTCTCTCATGCTAAAATTCTTGGTTCCTAATATAATTACTTATTTGCTTTATCCTATTATCTAATGCATTCAAAATAACAATAGCAAAATCATTACTAACAATATGGTTACTAATGCAGTTTAAGATTTTCTGGCAGTTCTTTTTGAACTTAGGATATAAATCTTTAGTGATGTACAAATTTCTAAGTTTCTAATCATTCAAATAATAATTCTTTGAGTGGCTAAACCACTAACTTGATATACACAGGATTCATTTGTTTCATTTCAGCTTTGATTTGGCTTTTATAATATTTTTTAAATGTTTTATACACATGTAAAACATTTATATGGTTCAAAACTATAAAGTACATCCAGAGAAATCTAGTTGACATCGCTGCCTCCTCCAATTCATTCCATCCCTCCCCCGCAGTTAACCAGTTTCATTAATTTCAGGTTTATTCTTCATTGTGTGGGGTATTTTCTTTTTAAATATGAACAAATACATGTACGTATGTGTATGTTTGTATCTTCCCCTTCCATAAATAAAAAATTAGCATATTACACAAAATGCTTCCTTGCCTTTTTCGCTTAACAATATATCTTGGATATTACTGAGCAGTTGCATATCTAGAATTCCCTCATTCCTTTTAAAAGCTGCACAGTATGCTATTGAGGATATACAGTTTATTTAATCAATACCCTGTTAGGGACATGTGGATTGTTTCCAATCTTCTGCTACTACAAATAGAGCTGCAATGAATACCTTGGACATCATTTTGTTCTCTTCCTAACATACTTCTGAGCTACATTTCTAGACGTGAGATTTCTAGGGCAAAGGATGAGCACATTAGTTTTCATCTGTTTTATGGGCACATCTTTCTTCACTTGACTATAGAAATGTTATAGCAATTATCTCCTTTTCTTCTAATATCTTTGTAAGAGCTTCCATCAATCTGCTTCTGTTGCTCATGTTTAACTGACATGGGTTTTCCTGCTCCTGTGGAAGGATAATCCTGTGTGTGGGCACGCCAGGGCAGCTTTTTAGCTTCATGGCTCTCAGCTCACACTTCATTGGTACCACAAAGTACGCATGGATGGAGGCATGTATGTGTGTGCATATAAAATCTTTAGTACATCCTGAGATCTGCTTCCTCTATTTCCCCTCTCTCACAAGTATCTGAAAACTTGTCTTTTCTTCACCTTTCATGTCCTTGTTCTGCTCAATATGGACTCTACCACCAGTGATTTTTCCTGAGTGAAGGCTTTTGCCTTGAAAGGGATTTTGGCTGGTTAGTTTCTAGAGTTCTTAGGGCCCGGTCATCTCAGAACCCTCTCAAGTTCCCTGCACTCACCTACAAATTAAAGCCTATCCACATTATTTTCACTTTTGTTACTCCTGGTTCCTTCTTGCATCTTTCACCATCCTCTTTCTCTCTGGGATTATTTTCCTTGTGCCTGAAGAACACCCACAAGAGATGGTCTGCTGGCAGCAAACTCAGTTTTTATCTGAAAACATCTTTATTTAATTTTTTGGTATTTAAGGATATTTTCACTGGTTAGAGAATTTTAGTAAGAGGTTATTTTCTCTCAGCACAATATATTGTTCCAAAGTCTTCTGGCTTCCATTGTTGTTGCTGAGAAGTTATTTGCAAATCTAACTCTCAGTTCTGTATAGGTATGTGCCTTTTGTTTCTCTGGTGGCTTTTAGTTTTTTCTTTGTCTCCAAGTATGGTTTGGTCCCATTATCTCTTTTACACCATCTTTCTAGGTGCAATTACACATATGTCAGACATTCTCACTATATCCTCTCTATCTCTTGCCCTATTCTGCATATTTCTTATCTTTTATCTCTTTGAAAAGTTTCTAGTTCCTCACTGAAACTTTCAAGCATGGCTTTAATTTCCTTGAATGCTGTATAATTAAACAGAGTTGGCTAACATTTGTGACTGATAATTCTAGGATCCATTTCTGTGAGCCAATTTCTTTGGTCATTGTTTCTGATGGTTCTCGTTCACAGTATCTAGTCTCCTCCTGTCTCTAATTAATTTTAAATGTTTTCTGGATGCTATCTTTTAAAAGTTATTTGTAGGAATAATTTGAGGCTGAAAATGACATTGTTTCTCTCAAGATTTCATTTGCTTTTGCTAAGTGCCTAGAAACACTAGCAATCCAAAAGCATCTGAATCCAAGTTCAAGACCTGAAAACTCAGGCTACAATCTCTGAGAAAGCTGATTTATTTCTGGTTCACCCCTACTCCTGGGGTGAAGCCTTGCAGTGGTCTAAGTCCTTGGTGGAAAACTGAACTCTGACTTTTGTTCCTCTCGTCCTGTGATGCTGCCAAAACAACACTTCATTTGCTGTTTTCTCTTCAGAACTGGCAAATACCATCCAGGGCAAAAATGACCCTAGATAGACTTACCTCCCTGGATTCTATTCTTCTCCGGTATCTCAGTCCGGCAATTCCTATTTTGTTAGCTCTTTGATGATTCTAAGAAAGAAATTTTTATATTTTGTCCAGCGTTTTTAGTTGTCATCAGTAATGGGGAAGGTCCAAATTACCTAGTCTGCCATTAGTGAAAGAAGTGACTCTGTCACTTTTCATCCTCCTTAACCTACTTCATGTTACTTCACAGCACCTGTTACTCCCTGACATTCACCTCACAGCACTGTAAGTTTTAGGTAGATTTAAAAAATATTAAAAAAGAAAACTTAAGTTGGGAGTGCTTTATGACATATACATCACAAAAATATTAAAGGCAAATGGCAAACAGAGAAAAACATATAAACAAATATGAAACACAAAAAGTCAATATCCTTAAAATAGTATATACTCTCAGGTATAAATAAGAAAAACATTTTTCCATTTTATTTTCTAATTTTGTTTGCTCTCTCACTTTATTCAAGTCTCTGTTCATATTCCTGTCCTTGGAAAAGCCATCTTGATCATCAATCTAAAACAGTCTCATTCTCATCTTGTTCCCCTTAACCTTCTGTAGTTTTCTGCATAGCATTTACCACTACTTGCTTTTTTGGTACTGTTTTATTAATTATCTGTGCCCTCTGCCAGTACTGTAAGCTCCAAGAGAAAAAAGACTTTTTAAATTCACCGCTGTATCCTCAGTGCATAGAACAGTCTCTGCTCAATAAATATTTGTGGAATGAATGAATAAAGTTTTGCATAAAAACAGAATGTCTCACCTTAATGATCATGGAAAATATTTTAAAATACAGAAATAACAAAAGCTAGTATTTATGGAGTGCCAAGCATTGTTCTAAATGCTTTACATGTATTAACTCATTTAGTCCCAGAAAATCCCATGCGTTAGGTAAGATCATGATACTCATGAGCAAACTAGACACAGCGAGATTATGTAGGTTGCCTACATCACAAAGCTACTAAGTATACTGAAAAGAATTAATAATATGGCCAAATATTTCTTGCGCCAAACTCATCTGTTACCTTTCACACGTAAAAACTCTTGAATATGAACGAGACCAATTAAATAAAACCACCAAAAGGATTACCACCGTCACTGCGTTTTTAGTATATACATAATACTAAAGACTCCACTTAGCATTTTACATATAATATCAAACTTAATCCTTATAACAGTCTTGTGAAGTAGGTTTTATCACCTTTCTTTTATAAAAAAAGGAAACTGAGGCTGAGGGAGGTTAAATTAGTTGCCTAAAGTCTAGCTCAACCTGGGATTCAATTTTAAGTTTCAACCTAAACCCTCTATTTTTATCTTCTACATCAAAAAACTTGCAATAAAACTTCATGCTTCAAAAGAATAAGTACGTTCCCCTAAGAAAACAAAGACAGCATTACATACATCCATTTCAGATATATAATCTTCTGGTTTGTCCATAAATACTGCAGAGACTGGAACAGATGTGTTTTTAGACATCATGAATTTTAATGGAACTTCATGGAAGATTTGATTTCTCTCTCTCATTGTCATTTTCTTTTGGGGAAGTGGTGAATTAATATAAATTACTTTAACTGGTTTTGAACCTTAAAACAGAAACAGAAGAAAAGAGGTGATTAGTTTCTAGTAGCTATATTAAAAACAACAACAAAAACAGGACTATGATAAAAGAATCAGTAAACAAAGAGACACAGGATAGAAAGGTGGCAGCACGTGTCTCCATATTTGCCACCCTTGAATCAGAAGATCTTTAAAGTCCCTTGGAGATCTAAGAGCAAGAGAATCTGGCAAGAAAAATATGCTCTCTAACAACTTTTTTTAAAGGATTCTCTGCTTTCTATTGTTATACTTTCACTGTCACTATTACTCTGTTCCTATAGATTTATACTTTCAAAAAGTGATGAAATTTTTAGCATGTTTCATGAGACACAGTTTTTCATTTACGATAATTATGTTGTTAACATAATATTAATTCTGGAAAATATGAAAAAATTGTTAAATATAAACCAAAATAGAAGGGTAATAATCTTTCGTACAAAGGAATTTATGTGCAAATATTGATTTTACTGTTCAAAGAGAGACTATGCTATGCTTATAAGTATATACCTATTTTAATTCTGAATTCCAACAACAGACAAGTAAATAAGTCCTGGAAACTCAGCCATCTGAGGTTGTCTAGTACTGCATTCTTTTCATTTCAATAAAAGACAGAAGCACCTTATTATTTCATGTATTTTTGGCCACCCTAAACCACAGTTGCTTCTCTACCTACCTCTCACCCCTCAACACCACTACACATTCTGTAGATCTAATAGCTCAATTACAATGATCAATTCTATAGTAGCACGGCATATATAAAAAGTTCTACTGAATATAAATGTCAAATTTATATCCTCTTTAAACCAAAACTTAGATTTTTGTATCTGACAAATGACCACCTATGTTTAGACGGCTGAAAGGGAGCTGTTCCAACTCTTTTGAGAGCATTATTTGACATGGCATATCACAAACCTGCAACAGGTATGAGTTGAATACACACTGGAATTTCCCACTGTTCCTTGTAGTTTGGTCCATGATTATTTAATAAGGTAAATAACGATTGACTAGTTAGAGCTATCTGAGGGTGATATCTTGAAACAAGCTTCTCTGCATTTGGATCTTTACTAATATCCTGAAAAACAACATATAACTTGTTACTTGATTATATTTATTGGCAGTTTCTTTGATAAAGTAATGAAAAGAAGGGAGAGATTCAGGGAGGGGACTTTAGAACAATTAGGTTATCTGGACCCTTGGAGGTACAGAAGATTACTTGGAAGATCCAAAACCACCTTTCTACTTACATAATGCATAGCTGCAGCTGTTTGTTCTGCTGTTTCAGTGGTAGATATGTTATCTTTTGAGAGCTGCAACTTTGCAGGCATTGATGGAAATACTGTTTTCACATACTTTACACTGCCCTAAATAAGAAAAAATGAATCTTTTATTGGAAAAATCTTGATATATTTTTCCTGTAAGAAAAGTATCCTTTCATTATATGAAACTTTTAACTTAAAATTCATTCTACTAAATGTAAATATCAAATTTAGAGCTGCCTTAAATCAAGACTTTCATGTTTTGGCCTGCCAATCACCATACAGATTTTTTTTTAAGAGGGTCCAAGACAGGAGTGTCATGGAATTTTCTCTGCACTTTAAATTCTAACTCCTCATTTTATGAGGTACAAATCCTAACACGGTATAGCAGAAACTTTAAAATATCCTCTCTACACACACTTCAAATACGATTCTGAGTAAAATCACTTAAAAGAAAAAGGGCTTCCTGCTTATATTCAGGAACATTAAGAAAGACGGGAACTAAGAAAAGAAAATCAAGAAATAAAGTTGGGGGGCTGGCCCTGTGGCCGAGTGGTTAAGTTCGTGCGCTCCAGTGCAGGCGGCCCAGTGTTTCGTTGGTTTGGATCCTGGGCGCGGACATGGCACTGCTCATCAAACCACGCTGAGGCAGCGTCCCACATGCCACAACTAGAAGGACCCACAACGAAGAATACACAACTATGTACCAGGGGGCTTTGGGGAAAAAAAGGAAAAAATAAAATCTAAAAAAAAAAAAAAGAAAGAAGGAAAGTTGGTACAGTCACACGTTGCTTAATAACAGGGATACATTCCGAGAAATGCGTCGTTAGGTGACTTCGTTGTTGTGCGAACATCATAGAGTGTATTACACAAACCTAGATAGCATAGCCTACTACACACCTATGCCATACAGTACTAATCTTATGGGACCACCATCATATATGGGATCCATCGTTGACCGAAATGTCATTATATGGCGCAAGATTGCAGTGACATTTTAAAAAAATATCAAGTATTGGTATCCATTAAATAAAAAGAAAGGGGCATATTTGTACTTCATAGTTTAAAAGTTATATCCCCTTATTGTCCAAAATTGAAACATAAATACTGCCTATGTGAAATATAAATGATATTTCAGACAAAAATAAGCTTATACTTTCATATGGTAAACTTTACCAAGGCAAGAAGAGTTTTTTCTAACTTTAATCCCATCTCTATCCTGAATGGGAAGAATCCCATTAAGCTGGTGACTTCATGGAGAGTATAGAATTCTGGATACTTTTTCACTTGTTCAACACAAGCTCTTAAGATTTGCTAGGAAATAAAAAATTAAAAGAGAAATTAATCTGTATCATACTTTTCTAGTAATGCAACAAAAACAATTTAGTTACATGTGATTAATAATTATTCATTTCAAACATTAGCCTCATTTCATTAATCAAAATTTTAACAATCCAGGTATATTGTAATTCCTTAATTGATTTAATCTTTTCTTTTTCAAAACAATTCTTTTAACCTAATTTCTTAAAATATTGATATTTACTTATACTAAAATTAGCAATCGGATTAAAATTTAAAATTAAATAGGCAAGACGTATCATATTTTCTATGCTATTTAAGAAACTGTCGAAGAAATAAAGCCACATGAAAATTTCAGTACACTTGACTGCAAAAAAAGCAGTTACATGAATGATTAGAAATAAATAAGTTTAATATCCTAAAAAGATTCCCAAGTAACAATGAATTAACAAAGTAGTTATCTTACAGGTTCTTCTCATCTAAAATCTAAAAAATAAATGAGAATGTTATAAATAATTCAAATGATGGAGTATTTAGCATTTTCTTCTCTCCAAACTGTTTTCAAAATATTAATGACTTCCCAGGAAATATAATCAGGAAGGAAATAAAATTCATAGCTTTACTCAAGCAGAACACATGCCACTTGTGATAACATGTAAACAACTCAAAGAAGCACAGCAGTTTCGGGTGGGGGGTTATAACTAACACACACATACACTATCTTCTAAGATACGCATTTTTTCTTCTGTCAATGAAGTCTAATATGAAGCCTTTCGAATATATTTTACATTACAAAAGCTGTTAGCAATAAGCATATCTTTATAATCTATCTCTATCCTCTTCCCCTTCTGACATTTATAAGATGTGTCGTTACAGATCAATAACCACTCCAACATATCTTTTCATTCATAGTTTCAAATCCTCTTCTTTCATCCCTACTTCCCACTATCTTCCACATTCTTGCCCTCCATCCACGCTTTTCAGTACTGATCTTGATATTTAATTCAGGATATTACTTGCAACTAAGGCAGATGTGGGTCAACATGGAAAAGCTCTGTTTTTAAAAACCCCAGTCAACTGAAAACTCAGATTTGCACAATATTTTTGCTCCTCATTTACGATATTAGTTAACCTTCACCCGCAACATTCTCGTCTCGTGGTAGTCATTATTAAGACTGAACATGCAAAGTGAAGCAATCTATAAGAACTATGTGACATAGAGACTCGTCTGGTTAGATATTTATTGGCACACGTGTCTTGGTAAAATTCTGCTGAATGTTCCAGTGCTTTTAACTGAGTTTCACTTAGTTCAGCAATTACAGCAAGAGAAAGAATCAAAGGAAAATCTAACACAGTTTTACACTTATACCAGATATGTTATGTATTATTAAAGGTATTTCACAACTGGTAGGTATTAAGCAACTAAAGGATCATTATTTGATGTACTTAATAAAAAAGGTTTTTAACCAGTAATTTATTTGTCTTTGAAAAACAGCTGAGTGAACAACAAAGGTTAAGTGATTCAGGCTGTTCCCCATCACTCATCCCCCAAATGTTGTTTAACACTCAAAATATCTTGAAATTTAAATCACTATACTCCCTAAATTTTATTTTGTGCCAGAAAGGAAAAATATGGTATCGTACATGTTTGAAATCTAAAAATGTAACAGATACTACTTCTGGCAGTATGGTAGAGTAGGTACCTTGAAGACCAAACCTATCCAAATAATACTAGATCCTGGATAAATTACAACTAACAATTTTTATGCATTGCTGAACTTAGTAAAAAGCAAGGAGAATCTCCAAGGACCATAAACAAACACATAAACCCTAACACCTAGAGCGGGGAGGAATAGAAGCAGTGAACAGTAAGAAAACACATGAAAGACGAGGCGGCTTGAAGGCAAATGCCTCAACCAGTTCTAAGATCAGGGAGGGAGCTGAACATGAGAATCCCACATTTAAGCCTTGAAAAGCAGAGATTTGAATACGTGTTTGTACATCTATGTTCATAGCAGCACCATTTACAACAGCCAAAAGGTAGAAGCAACGCAAGTGTCCACCAACGGATGGACGGATAAACAAAACGTCCATATACATACAATGGAATATTTATTCAGCCTTAAAAAAGAAATTCAGACACATGCTACAACATGAATGAATCTTGAAGACATCATGCTAAGTAAAATAAACCAGTCACAAAAAGATAAACACTATATGACTGTACTTAAATGAGGGTCCCTAGAGTAGACAAATTCAGAGGCAGAAAACAGAATGGTTGCCATGAGCTGGGAGGAGGGAGGAATTGGGAGTTACTGTTTAATGGGTGTGATGCAATAAGAAACATATATTTGGTCTTTGTCCCTGGCTCTTAACACACAGCTCCTAAAACCTTCCGTATCTTGAGGGATAACAGTGTCTTTTGTATGTTAATGAGATGACTGGTGGCCCCTAGATAGCTTAATGATGGGGGATGGTTGCCAGAAAGACCAAGGCATGATTACAAGGTTAGAACTTCTAGTCCTACTCCCCCACCTCTGGGGAGGGGAGAGGAGCTGGAGATGGAGTTAATCACCAAGATACAATGCTTTAATCAACCATGCCTAAGAAAAGAAATCTTCATACAAACCCCTAAACAACAGAGTTCAGAGAGATTCTGGGTTGTTGAACACATGGAGGTGCAAGGGTGCTGTGCCTGGAGACGGCATGGAAGCTCTGTGCCCCTTCTCCCATACCTTGTCCTATGCATCTCTCTCATTTGGCTGTTCCTGAGTTGTAGCCTTTCTAATAAACTGGAAATAGTAAGTAAAGCACTTTCCTGATTTTTGCAAGCTGTTCTGGCAAATTATTGAACCAGAGGAGTTATAGGAACCCTAGGCCCACTGCCTGGAGAGTTGGAGAACTGGTTGGTGTAGGGGAGAAAAACCCCATATATTTGGTGTCAGAAGTGTTGTAAGTAGAAACAGTTCAGAAATGGGTACAGAGTCTCAGTTTTGCAGGATGAGAAGATTTATGGAGATTGGGTGCACAACAATATGAATGTACTTAATACCAACAAAATACACACTTAAAAATGGTCAAGATGGTAAATTTTATATTATGTGTATTTTAGCACAATTAAAAATAAATTTTAAAACAAGGGAAGGAAATTCTGACACGCTACAACATGGTTGAACCTTGAAGACATTTTGGTAAGCGAAATAAGCCAATCACAAAAGGACAACTATTGTATGACTCCACTTATATGAGGTACCTACAGAAGTCAAAATTCATGGAGAGAAAAAGTAGAATGGTGGTTGCCAGAGACTAGGGGGAGGAGGGAATGAGTTATTATTTAATGAGTACTGAGGTTCAGTTTGGGAAGATGAGAAAATTCTGTACATGGATGGTGGAAATACATTCACAAACAACTTTGTGAATGTATCTAATGCCATTGCACTTTCCTTAAAAATGGTTAACATGGTAAACTTTACGTTACATACATTTTACCACAATAAAAAAAAAAGAGAGAGGGGCTAGCCCAGTGGCTTAGTGGTTAAGTTCATGTGCTCCACTTTGGCAGCCCAGGATTTGCAGGTTTGGATCCCAGGTGCAGATTTACAGAACTCTCAACAAGCCATGCTGTGGCAGCGTCCCACTTACAAAATAGAGGAAGACTGGCATAGATGTTAGCTCAGGGCTGATCTTCCTCACCAAAAAAAAAAAAGAAAGAGAGAAATGGAAGACAGACTGAGGTCTAACTTACGAAATCTGGGAATCCTAAAGAGATAGAGTTGAGAAAACGAAGGAGAAGCAATAACTGAAAACAACTGAGAATTTTCCAGAACTGATGAAGGATATGAATCTACAGATACAAGAAACACAAGAACCAAGTAGAATTTCTTTAAAAAAAGAAAAAAAAAACCCCACATTGTAATGAAACTGTAAAACACTAAAGAGTGGTCAGACAGAAAAGACCAATTCCCTAAAAGAAATAACAGACAACACACTTTTCAATAACAATAACACGAGCCAGAAAAAGTCAAATTATACTTTCAAACATTGAGAAATAAAACAAACTGTCAACTTAGAATTATGTATGGAATGAAGCTATTTTATTAGAATGAGAACAAAACAAAAATATTTCCACATGAACAAAAAAGGAGATTGTTCATCACCAAGACACCTTCATCAAAGGAACATTTAGAACATAACATTTCAAGAATAATGAAGAGGATCTCAGAATGTAGATTTGAGAAGAAATGGAAAGCCAAAAAACTGTCAAAATTTGTAGATAAATGAAAACAAACATTGTCCATATAAAATAATGTAGGTAGGGTTACAAAAGAGACAGCATTAAAACAACAATATCAATCAGCAGGGATGTGATGTGAGTCAAAATTCTCCACACGGTCTCTGTAGACATACAGATTAATAAAACAGAACAGACTCAAGAAATTGACCCACATATTGATGATAAAGCAATTCAGTGAGGGAAAAAATTCATTGTAAAAATTCCAGAGTAACCACTAAGAGAACAGAAAAACAATGTATCAATTCCAAATCAATAGAGGGGAAAAAGAAGGGGGGAAAAAACATCAATTCTCTCAAAAGAAGTAAAAGAAGAAAGAAGTTTAGAAAAACAGAAATTACAAACAAGTCCATATACATCAATTACCATGAACTATTAAACTTTCTAATGAAAAGATAAGAGATGGTCAGATTTCATTTAAAAAGAAAAAAAGTAATCTAGTTAAACACTATTTTAAGAGGTATTTGTAAAATACAAGTTCTATAGATTCAAAGCAATCCCAATTAAAATCCCATCTAGTTTTTTTGTAGAAATTGACAAGCTGATTCCAAAATCTTACAGGGAAATGTAAAGGACTGATAACAGCCAAAACAATTTTAAAAAAAGAACAAAGTTGCACGACTTTACTACATGGTTTCCAAACTTACCACAAGACCAGGTGGTATTAGCATAAAGACAGATATACAGACTAATGAAATAGAATAGAGTCAAGAAATTGACCCAC